TGCGGAGTGTAGTGTAGCGTGGTTCCGTGCAGGCGTGTAGCGTAGTGCAGTGTAGTGCTAGGTAGGACTTAGAAGGTATAAAATAGTTCCAGGCGTTTTGCCTGGGGTTCTTTCCCAAACTCAGAAGTATAGATCAGGAACCCATTTCCTTTGCGTGTTTGTGCCCTTGAGTTCTGTCACCACGCATGAGGAGTTACAACTTAGCGTTCCGCATTTTGTAACTGAAGGCCTTCGGCCGAATGTTCAGAGCTAGTACATTGGTTAGAGACTTGAGTAGTTCGGATCTGCACCTGCGGGTGATTGCCGATGCTCAGAGCCAGTGACTAGTTAGATACTTGAACAGTTTCGCCCCTACACCTTCGAGTGTTTCTTTCTGATTGTACTTCCTTGGGATTTTTCCCCTGAATGCCAAAGTGAAGTTTTGCTACTTCGTGTAAGTCTTGGTTGTAAATTCAGGTTACGCTGCAGCAGGTGCCTTGAGGGTAACCCCTGTAGTATTTCTGGGAATGACAAGTGCCTGAGAATTCAAACTCTTCAATAGACTGTTGTTGTGTTACTGGAATGTTTCTCAGTGAGTCCTTCAGTGCGGACCTGTGTTCTCTGCGCGTTTTGTGAGTTGAGAGTGTTGTTCACCGCGTCTGAGTGACTTCGATCCGAAGTAGGCAGTCCAAACCGGGTTTCCTACGCTAGCAGCAAGCTGGTGGAAGCGTTGTAAAAGCCGGAGTTGGAAGTCACTGCCCGCAGCTTTGCCGAGTGTACTCTTGAGAGACTTTCCCCCTGAAATCTTGAGGTAGAGGTCCTAACGGATCTCTGGGTTGTGTTTCTGTAGTTTCAGGTGTGTGTGTGTGTGTGTGTGTGTTACGCTGCACTGTGCGACCTCCGAGTGCGCTCCGAGTGGACACTTGCAGTATTTCTGGGAGTGACAGTTGCCTGAGAATTCAAACTCCTCAATAGTCTGTTAAAACGTGACACTTTGTACCCTGTGTGTTCCTCTGTCCCTGTGGGTTCGACCTTTCTACCACTATATTGCAGTTTTAGCCTTTAGTGGGTTATTACAGCAATTCTAATTGAGGATCTGATATCGAAATTCATTCGTAGCATTAATGACAAACTTGAGGATATTGCGTTGAAGAGATCGCACTTGGAGAAGGAAGATGAGTTGTTTAACTATGAGCACTATTGGCCCTTGATTAAAGGGCACACAACACAGGTTATATTTGAAAGAGCTAGGGAGTTGCTGTGGAAGAGCGACGTTGAAGCGATTGTGAATGAGATACGACAGAAGCGATTGCAACTATTGGAATAATTGCAGCAAGTCCTTATCCAACAATTGAGGTCATTGCAGCAAGGTTTAATCAGCGTGAACAATGATTGGGTTCATTCTCAGGCTGAAGATGAGAACATGACTAACAATTCAAAATTTCATGATATGAAAGACTCCAATCGACTTTCATCTAGATGCTTAAGTCGGGCGAGCACAAGTGTAGAAAATATTTCAACCCAACTTATTTTGTCCAAGATAGACAAGGTAGAAGTAAATATGGGACGAAGGTTTGATGGTGTGGATGAGAGGTTGAGATCAGTGGTGAGCATTATGCAGAGATTGGAAAATAAGGTGGGACAGATACTCTCTTTGCAACAACAACTGCAGTCAAATTCCAGTGCTTTCATGTCAAAAGTGGACAGCATCATTCAGTATTCTAAATCATTTCGTCAAGCAAGAGCTCCCAAGCGACCTTACATTACAAACGATGTTGGCATTATTTACAGAATGAGTGCAATTCTGCATGTTGGCATGACCGTTTGCTTACACTTGATGTGTGAGTCGGTTAATGGGTTTCACATTGTCAAAGATCAAGAAAGTTTGAAGATACACTTGGATTGGGAGCATAGCGAGTGGATTCGGAAAACTATTGAAATCTCACTCAAAGTCATGCTTTATGCTGTGAAGGCTGGACAGGATGTGATATGCCGGTTGGGCCAAGCAATTCCGAATTGGGAAGAGTTAAAATCTAATGTTGTTAGATTAGATGGCATTAGCGATCCTAGGGCTGTTCTACAAGATGGGGAAAGCAAGGAGTTGAAAGAAGCATGGCTGAGGATTCAGCAAACTCTTGCGCCTCAGCTTCAAAATCGCTATTCTGAACTCTTCAAGTTGTATCAGGTGAAATACGTGAGGCCAGAATTAGGTGGGCATGCATGGGTGTGCGAGGAGTGATAATAATTGCTTATAGCAATTGCAGATTAGGAATTTAAAGAGGTTAGAATGTCATTATGCCAATGACAAGCATATGTTTAGATCCTTATGGAACATGAACCTCTGCAAAATCTTTCATAGAATTTTCACTTGTAAGTCTTTTCAAATCTATGGAATCATGTCAATCGCGCAGTTATGTTTCTGAAGAAATCAGAATTTGGCTAAACTATCAAAATTCCACATTGAGGACAAATTTTTGAGTGTGTGTTGTTGCAAGTCTCACCATGATGAAATCACTTCACTGAAAAATGAGGTGGTCAGCCTTGAGATCCAATACATAAACCTGTATGATTTTTCCGAATGATGCGGGTCCAACAACTGTAGAAAGGACAGGTATGAAGATTATGTTCTTTTATTTCTTAGAGTTGGTAGACTTGTTTAAACAGGAGTGCAAATTTAAACACCAAAATCGGCCGCTTGTCAACAAAGACGTTTTAATATACCAAAGACTAGATTGGTCATTTTTGAACACTAAAATTAAAATTTGCTTGATGGTTAGTCAAAAATCCTGTTTTGTTTAAAGTTAGTAAGAATGTTAAGATTTTCATTTTGAGTGTCAGATAGAAAAATTAACTTATTAACTTAATAAGATTTTCATTTTGACTTATTATAGAAAAATAAACTCGAGCATCATTTTTTTTTATCAATAAAACTCAAATATTGATTTCTAAATTCTTTGAATCTTTAGCTAAATAGTCATACTTGATTGAAACAAGTGTGATTATTTGATTCATAATACTTAAAATTAGCTTTGACTTTTGATGTCCAATATCATATTGTACCTTCATTATAGTAAGAAATGAAAATATGAAAATACATAACAGTTCAATAAACATTCTTAATGTATCATATATACTGAATATAATGATACATACCAAATTTAGCATAAGTTCCAACAAAATAAATAGATATTATCGTTATTTATTATAGAAAATTATTAATTATATTTCTTTTAATTTATAAATAACTAACAATCAAGATGAAAAACATCACTAGTAAATAGTTTACTTAAGATGTGGATTAGCTGTGCAGGGTCAACTATGTTGACATGTGATTCTTATACTTGACAACTCCTCAACACAGTGTTAGTGGACAGTGTTAATATACACAACGCAAGAATCGAGCAGGGTAGATGTTTTTCGTGATATAAATTGAGCACTATAGCTCCCGGTCTCCTTCTCTTAGCCTCCAGAAGCTTAAATCATGTTATGGACTAGATCATTACCTAGTGTAACATAGATGCACATGCTTGTGAATGACCGTCTGTACTCTGTGATGTTTCATATGCAAATGAAATATGTCGTGTTGCAATATCCATGTGCAAGATACCTCGCCTGACCTAAGTCCTACTCTTCCACTGCAGCACATCGATAAAACTAAAACTTCTGCATAAATTTATCTTTGAACTTTGTTTCATCAATGATTTTTGGAAGCGCTTCATCTCCACTACAACACTCCAACTTTATTCTTAAGTTGAAGCTCTAGCTATGGCATCGAACGAGTAATCTTTCCGTCACAGCCTGATGGGGGAATGTGTCTGTAATTTTTACATTTACGTGACATTTATATTTTACACACATTGTCGATTATAATATAAATAAATATAATAATTAATAAAAATAATTAAATATTTTCCAAAAAATAAAGCTATAGACTGTATCATATTTAATTTGGATAATCTTACTGACTCTAAAAAAAAATGAAAATGACATAAATTGACCAAATTCAGATTCTGATAATCGACATTTTTTTTAGATTTTAATTAAAAATATTTACCTACAATTTGTGTTGGTATATGGTTGAAATCGGTGATTTTTGTTCAAAGAAAAAGAGCTTAAATTTTAAATCCAATTTATCATTAAAAATATTTATTTTGAAATCTCTTGGAATCTAATATCAACATTTATCACTTGGATTGATATATACCATCATGCAAAGAAAATAAGACCAAAGACCAATAGTCTTCAAGTTTATAGACATAATTCGAGGATAGGATATTTATTATCTCATCTTCTCGTAGTGTGAACAAGAGTGAATTGATATTTCAATCTCTTAGTAAGCAATCGATGTAAATTTCTCCTTTGGAATCATCATTACTTTAGGCTTTATAAATAAGTTGAATATTAATTTTTTCAATAACTTCCATATGTTCAGCTATAAATTATGCCAATTGATGTGATATTAATTTATTTTATGCTGAAATATGTTAGTTCATATTCTATTATAACTCATGTAGAACATTCTTGCGTAACTAGATCCGGGCATCTAGGTTACTAGGGATGTTAGATAGTTGCGTACATGTAAGAAAAATACAAGAACTATACCGATTACATTTTGGATCAATTTTTAAAGCAAATTTTTTAAAAATATATATAACTTTACTATTCATAGAATGTAAATTTTGGAATTAAATATGTAAGAATATGATTACCAGGCAATATTATAATTATTTAATAAGATAAATTTTAAAATTCAAAAAAGAATAATATTGATCATAATTCTTATATCACGATAAAACTATGTCTCAATGAATACGGCTGATTTTTCATAGTAATATTAATAAAATCTGATATATATATATTCTTCAATATGCAAGAAAACCAGATATAATTAAACAGAAGTCCATGAAAACCATTATATCAAGAAATAGATAAAAATTGAGTGGAACCGAAATATGTACTAAAAATTTGAGAAAATGAATATTAAAGAGCTTTAAAAATTGATACAATCACATCTGATTTTGGTTCAGGGGAATTTGATGAGATAGTTGATCTATGAGCACTATATCCCGGCCCAGACCATCAATTCTGGAGTCTATTCGTGAGTACTCGGGCGAGGCTGATGACATCAGGGGTCTCCCTGACGTATATGACCCGTGACTGGAGATTGACGAACATTCGTTACGCCATTACGCTCGAGACTGACGAACCTTGGGGCGAAGCGCTGAGAGCTGAAGGGTACAAGTCTACAGGTCTAGTGCGCGTCCAGAATATCAGACAGTGCGTTTGAGATGTGTTCTCCTCCTATGAAGATCGATCGACAGATATTCTGCAAAGTTCACTCGAGTCCATATATTTAGATACATTGTTAGTTTCTGCTGCAGCGAAGGTGAGATCGTCTTCTAGTGTGATCAGGTGACAGAGTCCAGACTGAATGTGAAATTTCGACATCGAAGAATAGTTTGTCCATTCAATTAGATTCATCGCTAGTTTCTGGTGCAGCAAATGTGAGATAGTGGTCTAGTGTGATCAGGTGACATACTCCAGACTGACTGTCAAACTTCGACAGCGAGGAATAGTTTGAGACTCTTGGGAAGAGTGCAAACAGAAGCAGTCTCAGTTCTTTCGAGGATCGAACGAGAGGTGAATAATTCCATACAGCAAAGCATCTGCAAAGGGTTGCAGTGTTGAGACATGTCGTCGACGACGACTGTGAAGAATTTCTTCGGCGTTCTTAGTGCAGAAGAGGAGGTAGTGGAAGCGTCGGTTGCGGCTCCTGTCGTGGCCAGCCGCAAAGACCGACGTGGACGAAACTCATTTCTGCATGCGCTGTTACGGGGGCTACAAGAGCCGCAGACCGGATCCGGGGCTGCAAGCCAGAAACACGATGCCCAGCGTGCTCAGCCCCCCTCGAAGAAAGCCAACGTCAACGTCGGCGATGCGCGTTCTCGAAGACGTCCCGGAGACCTTTGGAGCGAGCACAAGCGCGAGAAGCGCCCTCAGGACGAACACTGAAGGAGGTCCGATGAAGAAGGTCTCTCGGGACAAAATCCGCAGCTGACGAGGGATTGAGATCGTCATCTGCAGCCCGTCCACGAGAGCCGAAGGACCGAAGTTGGCACCAACGTCGAGCACAGAGTGACAGGCCATACCGGCAATGTGCCCGAGAAATGTGAGGTCGATTGAAAATTAATAAAATTGTCCAAAAATTTCCACGCTAAGACTCTTCTTCCTCGGACTCTATTATCGGAATTGACTGATTCCGGATCTGATGACCGCAGTTTTCAATCGATCCTCGAATTTTTTTTTACCACTTCATAACGCTGCGTTGCTAAGGTCAGGTATGAATTGAAGCCTTTCCGGTATTCGACTACGTTCCAACAAGCGAGAGTGCAAACGCGTTCGTATCACCTCCCGGTCGGAATACGTTTCACGCTGATTCTGTCTCGACTTCTGGACCTCGTTGCCTCGTTGGCGAATACCGTCAGCAATAGACATTCGTGCTCTACGAGAGTGCGTACATAAATCTCATACGTATCCGAATGCGCTGGATCGTGTGGAGTGGACGCTTACGATAATATATACGATCCATGTACGAAAATGTACAAACAGAATCCTCGTAAGAAGGGGAGCAGTGCCCTACTACGTACATCGATGGTCGAATGTTTACAATGACGCGGTGCCGTATGAAAATACGAGCGATGCTGTAAGGAGTATGGCTGCATGAGAATCGGAAAGGATGCGACGAGCTCGTGAACGAGAGAGCTGGAAAATGGGGCCGTCCGCAGATTGCCAAACGACCGCCTTTTGTGCGTCGGCGAGGACGAGGATGCCGTTGTCTTGCAGGTCGATGTCGACGGCGCCTTTGTCGTGCGTGTTGCTGGTCCAGAGTATGATTCCTGGGTCGTGATAGTGCGGGAGCAGAGTTTCGGGATCCACGGGCGGTGGGATGAAGAACTGCAAGTCGCCGTCGTCCGAGAATCGAAGAGCGCAACTGTTTGTCGGCTGCAGAAGGTCGACGGGGACTCGCCACACCAGATCTCTGAGAGGGTTGTCCGACCGGGGGCCATGGGTCGAGTTTTCCTCCGCACCCAGCCGCCTCACTCCCACCCAGCAATTCACCGTCTGGTTCGGACACGACAATACGTGCTCCAAAGAGTAATTTCCGCTCGCAGATTCGATGATCGTCCACGCCAGGCCTCTGCATTCTTGGTTCGGGCTGGTGCCTGGCCAGGGAAACCTGATGGTGGTGCTGAATGGACCTGGAGGAGAACCTTCCACCAGAACTTGCTGTGCAGATTTTCCAGGCACGAAAGTGACGAAGTACAGGCAGATGAAAATGGCTCGTGATGATGCCAGGCTTGTCAAAACCAACTTTGAGTTCGCTCCGAGCTGCGCCTGGCATGATCGAGACATGACGACAGGTATGCTGCTAACGACCAAGCTCAGCTCAACTTCCAAACTGAAGTCCGTGGATCGTCAGTGTGCAGATGGATATCTCTCCCTGAAGGAGGGCAACCGAGATGAAAGAGCTCATTCGCGCTACTTGTAGTCACTTTTTCGTGTGTGAGAAGCTACAAGGTCTGTGAAGTACTGATGTGGTATCAGCACATGGGTTGACTTGCACTGCATTGGGGTAACATAATGTCATGAAGCTCATGGAAGAAAAGCTCTAGAAAGGTTGTGTTTCCGCAAGATTCTGCATGTGTTCAATGCTGTGCAGATACGCAGTAATGTCGTTGAATTCTGTAGTGAGATGGCACTTTGGTGCATTAATCAGGTCCCAAAAATAATCAAGAACGGTGAGTTTTGTGAGCTGCGTACAAATAAATGTACGTGTAAGTGATGAAATTCTACGGTTTTCTATGTCATACCTGACGCTTTCTTACAACCAGTACGGATCATGTCAGTAAATCTCATTGAAGCTGAGATTGACCCAAGTTGACCCAGGATCACGTTCTGGACCAAGAGAGCTGCCGGAAGCTAGAAACATATCCAGATTGGAGGCAGAATAGTCAGATCTTTGTTTCGACAACGGATAGCCACAACGCTGTCCAGATTTAATGCGATGATCAGTACCCTTGTCCAGAAGAAAGTCTCCGGAGATATTGAGAATTTATAGTCTAGACTTGCTCTATTCATAGTCTATTACTAGCTCCAGAGATATTGACAGTTAGTATCGTAGCCGAATTTCAATGGCAATCATTGTCCAGGTATTGAAGTCCAGATCTCGAAATGCAGAGTCTTCTCAAAAAGTGAAGATTCTAGTTCACCCTCATCAGCACTGACAACTGGGCTCAGCTCTGGGAGAGATCACTTCCATCCTTTTAAAAAAGGAACAAATCCGAAGAACTCTGCTTGCAGGCGTGGACTCGAATTGAAGAAGAAGGATGATTGCAGAGAAAGGAGTAGAAAGATTGTAGACCAAGCGACGACTGTCCAGTAGAAAGCAAGGGCACTGACATACTGGACACGCCCAAGAGCTCATCCAACATATTTTTCAATTCTACTTTACGCAACGGAACGTCAGCTGCGGTCTTGACACAGCTGGCAGCACTGAAGGGATTGCCGACTCCATCGTCGTGGATCGAGGTTGGTTCTAAGACATACATTCAATGGGATATCGCTGCTGCTGCGGCAGTGAATACCAAACGGGAGAGCTGAAAGACGATGACGAGATGCCGGGTGAGGATGAGTTTACAAGGATTGCAGGACATACAGTCCGATTTTCGAGCCAAAAGGACTGACCTCAAAGAATTTGTATCGACATTTCACAGCCCCGAGATGATGATGGGAACCTGCCAGAAGCAAAGGGGATTTGGCGATGATAAAGCACCGGTTTGAGAGAGAACGAACGACACATTGTAATTCTTGATCGAGTTCAGACAAGTAATTACATTGCCGAACTCGTATACAGGCATTTAAGGCTATGAGTTCTGAAGTCTAACTGCGAGGACATTCAGGATAGCTTCCGTCGTAATGGCGTCCAATTGGGAACCCTAAAAAAGTATTACCCTCTTTCATGGCAAGAAAGTTCTCAGCAGATCGTGGTCACCCAGGTAGCACAAGGAAAATAGAGCCACAAGATTCAGCAGGAGTAGGCACGAGTTTGTGGATCCCATCGGTGGTTCTAGATTGAGGTTTGAACGGAGAGCAGGAAATCGTGGCGCGTGACTTGCGAAACGAAATCGGTGGGGTTGAACTAATGATGATACCATCTAGCGACGGATTCCAGCACGAAGCTCGGAGTGGAGACTGCAGGTGTAGATAAGATGTGATGATTTTCTCATGTCGACTACGAGATGGGAAAGGTCTGTTATACTGGCTGCGTTCACACATGAAACCTCTTGAATTGTCACTTTCAAACTTCAGGGTCTCTAAACGTCCTTGAGAAGCAAAATTCATTGCTTCGATCGATGCGCACGGTTCGAGTGCCCCGCAATTGCTGAGAAGAGCCCCCACTGCAGAATTGAATCCGATTCGGACACTCTGGGATCGATGAGGTTCAGGAAGTGATTTCAATGACAGATCTCTTGGGTTCTGGACGAGTAAACTAGGTCGTACGCGTCTCCCCCGTCTACGATCTTTCTAGAAATTTTGACGAGTCGCTGAAGTTAGTGCAGCATCGCGGTTTCTTAGACCTCGTTAGGGTGTATCATCTGATTCGCCTCATATACATCACAATGTTTGATTATCACCATTTTCCTTGGCGTGACGTGTGCACGAAGCGTTCTGCACACCCTGCAAATCGAAACATTACTTGCCAGAATGTTTATTGATTGTGCAGGTTCGGATTGACTAGTGAATGGCGTTCGGACGGGTGGTTTGGATCATATGAGTTTCTTGTACTCCATCTCAGCAAAGTGTAAGGCAAATTTGCGAAATTCGCAGGCATTCATATGATCGTGTCGCTTTAAAGCATGAATAGCAAAATAGGGCCCATAGTAATTAGCCAGTGTATGCTTCCAATCAAACAACTGCCTCGGTATCTTAAACCGAGGAGTGAGTGAAAAGTCCATCAAAGTGCTGTTTGAGTCGTTGCATGATCCTGTTTCCTGTTTGTTGATCCCGTTTGTTCAGATCTTTCAACTGGGCCACGAGGCATTTCATCGTTGGGGATGGGGACACATCGTTGACAACGTCCACCATATGACAAGTTTCGCGAACTTGTCAAAATTCGAATGACTAGAATGATTCCGAACGCCCTTTGGGAACACAACATGAATTTCTCGTTGAGCTCAGGCACTTCTCCCGAGCGCTGCTATTATTTTCAAGGTTGGACCGTGCTCTAGATTCTGAGGAGCTGTTCAGAACCTTAAATCACCGGACGAGGTCTGATTTGCCGCCACTTGCAGTCTCTTGGAGCTCTTGGGGCCTTGCAGGGAGGAGAAGAAAATAAAGTCAAGAGGACAAAAAGCGTAGGGCTCTGGATGCTATGCAATGTTGGGAGATTTCTTCGTGATGGGCAGGGTAATTGAGCACTCTATCATTTGGACGTCGACAGGTTATGAATACCAGAGGGTGATAAACGGCATACTCTCTCTCGAGCTCGCGAAGAAGAGCAGCGATTATTTAATTTGGGTTCGGATTTCCAGTTTTTTCACGCACTCATCGACCGATCGATTCCAGCGATTTCAGCTACGATCGCAGAACGAATTCTAGACCTTCAACGAGAGTGCAGGCACGAACGATGGGCTTGATCTTCGTGCCCTACAGACACATGCACGAGTCGCTGCTGAAGAACTCACACAGAGGTTCGAGCGAATCGGCGTCAACCGAACAGGCCAACACGAATGAGAATTCGTACCAGTCCTTACAGGATCTGGTCCGGATCTACGACGATCCATCGGCGATCGACGCAACGGATCGTTCGGCCAACCTCGACGACGACGGCGAGGGCGAGGACGACGAGGCCCGTCCCAGCAGCTCCGGCGCCAGCACCTCGGCAGCATCCAGAACCGAGGGCGACAGCTCCAGCGGCGACGAGAATGCCCGATTCTATCGAGCTCTCCGAAGGCTGCACACGTCCACGCCGGGCCCGAGCTCCGCAGCCAATGTCGTGTCCAGCCTGATCGACACGAGAACTGTCAGACTGCTCGAGGTGCTCTCGGCCTACTACGTACGAGCCGCCTACGACCGGACGCGCGCGACCGCGCCGCCCGCCGCGGCCGTCGCGAGCAGCCCCGGCGCCCTGAGCCCCGTCGGGCTCGGCATTCTGCAGGGCGCGGCGGAGACCGCCGCAAATTCGAACATCGTAACGCGCCCGACCACCGCCCGCGTGCCGGAGCGCTTCACCGACAGTCTGGCGCGCGTGTACGACGCCCACCGGTCGCTCTCGATGGCCCGAGCCTCGTCGCAGACGGCGGGCGTGGACCCAGGCGACCGCGACCGCGGCGGGGGCGGGGGCGTAAGGAGGCGCCACCAGTTCATCCTGCGACCTGACCACCGGGAGGTGTCCCCGGAGGAGCTCCGACTCTCCCACTGGCAGAACGGCCCGTTCACGTTCCACAACAACGTCGCGATCGGCGTCGCCGCCGACCCGTCCGTAACGAGACGGACGGCGGGCCCGCCCGCCGTCGTGAACCCGGGGCCCGGGTTGCTGCGCACGCCGGAGCGGTCCGTCGACGACCTGCTGCAGTTCGTGAGGAGGCGGACGGACCAATCATCGTCCGCCAGCACGTCCAGCTCGCAGACCGAGGACGATGTTCTGACCGCCTCCGCGGGCAGTGGGCCCGGGCCGGGGCTGGGGCTGGTGCAGTTTCGCGACGGCGCGAGCTCGGGCGGGACCGTTACGGTGAACCCGGCGTTCTCGTCGTCCTCGGACTCTGGCCCGACGCAAGCGTACCTGCGACACAACGAGACGAGGACGAACGTGACGACGCACGGATGCCTGCGCGTGATTATGCGCCGGCATCGAGGCTGGGAGGAGCAAGCGGCGCGAGACAACTTCGTCGAGTATTGGCACTACAGCACCATCCAGCGCCGAGAAGCTCCGGGCTTCGAGGTGGTTCGCGACGGGATCGCCCGGCTTCCATGGCCCTTGCTGGCCCTGGCAGGCCTGCACACTTTGCGGTCGTTCGCTTATCAGATCAATAGCGCCCACCATCGCGAAACTCCTCTTCCCGACTACCAGGGCAATGTCTTCGATGTCGTTTTGGTGTCGCCGGAGCCGACCTCGAATCCTTCGGAAGAGAGGGCGATCTGAGGATATCCATTCGACGCAGTTGGAACTTGATGTTGACGTCTTCATTTGGATCAGTTTCCTCGTTTATGTGATTTGTGAGCGTCACCAGTAGTTCAGGATTAGGAACCTTTCGTGAATATTGACAATGATATTTCGAAAGATCTCTGTGATAACTTGAGCCTTCAGTGGGAAAATCTTCAGATGTATTATATCTTGAAGAGAAGTCTATTAGAGCTGCAAGAAAGCATAGGAAGAAAAATGTTGATAACTGGAAGGTGGAACTGTGGCCTTCGTGCACACCTGTGCACGAAGGCCACTTAAATCAACCACCAGAAATGGGACAAATCAGCACGATTTCTGTGCTCAGAGCAAACGAGGATGAAGACTCTTTCTTGGAACCATTTTCTGCTTGATTGGTGCTTATTTCATTCATTTCCACCTGAGTGCAATTTGAATGTTTTCTTCCCGTTTCTCTCCTTCTCCCTCTTGGCACGGCATCTAGGCAAATATTTCACTCGAAGGCCAGTATAGAGGTTTAACACGGTTTGGTGAGCATGTTGGCCTGTCCTAACGATGGGTCATTGACACCAATTCAATAGTTCCCTTTTGACAGGAAAGCTCCATCGTTCCGTGTCTGTACGAGAGCTTACAGAAAAAATCTTCGCCCCAGTCCCACGGACTGGAGGATTGCTATCAAAGCTAGAATTGATAGGTTATAGGAGCTATTCATATGGCGTTCGATGGGAAATCTGAAACCTTTGAATCCGCTGACCAAACTGTGACTCTAGCGTTTGGTACTCCTCGTTGTCTCTATCTCTGTCTGTCTGTCTGTTCCTTCTTATTGGTCAGGGCTTCATATAAAATCCTTGGGTCAATTACCAATTTTATCCTCTCCTTTTCTATGATCCATGTGGTCCCCATCTCTCTCTCTCTCTCCCTCTCTCTCTCTCTCTCTTCTGATCAATCACTCTCTTCTGTGGTTCAGATGATGTTTTAGCCAATCAGGAAATCATTAAAGTTATAGCGGCTGCTAAATAATCGAGGAGTGTGAAGAGAGTGGTTGTTTATGTCTCAATAGTTTCCATAGGATGCAGTTAAGCCGGCTGCTATATTCGAGCTCCCAACACAGTTATTGATGAAACCTGGCGGAGTGCTGACAAATGGTGCAAAGAGAAGCGGGGAGCTACTATACCACGTCTGGACTTGAAAGATGCTACAGCAAACCAGCAACGAATGCCATAAGCCATCCTATGATTGATATACTTAGGTCTCTAGCATGCTCAGATGGCATAATGTCTTCAAAAGTTCAAGCGGAACGAGCTGCTTGAAAATTTGCGAAGGGGAACGCCTAAACTTGGTGGAGATATGTCCAGGCTTCGGACTAGCAAGTCTTGGAATCCCGATTACAATCAGGTTATGTCAAAATACCGAATGTAAACTGTTGATTCGTGATTCCAAGGCTGCAGATCGACAATATATTCCGAATCCAGTAATGACTACGGTCACATTCTATTTTCCTAGTAGGAAAAGATATTCGAGTGTTAGGCATTACACGAACAAGGGGATGACACGAGTAAAGAAAATGAAAATTTCTTCAGCTCTGAATCAGAGTTTCCAAGAGCACAAACGAGCACGAAAGTCATATATAGGGAGGTGTCTATACGGCCTCCTGTTTACTAACAGCTCAAGCTAGTGGCTTATGAATTCGGTTAGACGTTTGTACTAAAAAGTAAATGAACGGTAGGAATGGATTTTATTTCGCATTATGCATCGAGATGGCTTCGATACATAATTGAGTGGGTTCTACACGCTCTTCAGGGCCAAGGAAAGGTATTAACAAACGCAGACGAATCTTATGATGAAAAGAGAAGGTGAAAGAAGAGAGTCACGGCTCGCAACTTTCTGACAATTTTCTATCAAACTGACTTTTATACAGTCTTATCTTAAAGCGCTGATAAAATCTGAATCCAGGAGATAGTAATTACAGTGACTTTGAATTTCGGAACCTTCGTATTTTCAATGTTCTGTTTTCGTGTGAGAGATCGTGTAAATCGAATGATTTGCTCTGTTTATTCTTCTTGCATTCTGGTCGCAGTGGACTGTACATTTCGCTCCATAAGAATGATTTCTGTAATAGATTAAGCACTTGTGACAGAAGTACATGTTATAGCTGGTTTGGAGTAACAGAGACATGACTAGACTGTTATGTCATATTTAACATACTCTGGAGTAATCTTGACGTAACCGAGAGAGATGAAAGGCAGAATCGAACGAAATGGTTTGGGGAAAAAAAAAGTATCACTCTAGTACCCAAATCAATTTGATCACTCTGTAATCAAATTTAAGCCTGTGACGGCCGAAAGTGCGTTTATATCACATACTAGACATTAGTTTGGGAGCTTGTCTGCACTAGAATTCTAAGCTTCTATGCTGCCATCTGCAGATCCAAACGGATACTTCCTGCATCTAATGAAGCTTGAGTTTAGAGGGCATAGGGCATAGGAAGTTTTCTCTTCTGGAGATTTGCATCAACTGGACGTCGACCCAGATGGGAATGTAAGGCTTCTCTTCTCCTAAAATCCTGGATTCTCATGAAAGTACACAATGTCTTTCGTATTAGTGAGAAAAGTACTTGATCACAACCGATATCTGCACTTTTTGTAATGCAAATCATAATCACGGAACAACAAATAAGTAAAGGGCATCGTAAACCGTCGAATCACTCAGTGGCGTCTATTTTTGAATGGTATTTGCCAGCAAACTTTCCTCATTTGGAATAACTTTCTCAATCAGCTTACTAACTTGAACACACTTCAGACTCTGTGTTGCTAGCTCAGATATTGACTCAGGAATGAACAGGAATCGATTTGGACTAATTCCTATCAAGATGAAGTTTATAATATCATAAAGGGGAGAAGAATGCATATTACTCCGCTCGATCTAGAAGTAATTAAATTTCTGTGGCTAATGCCGAGTACCACCAGTCACTGTTAGCGTGATGGAAACGGTTTAGTTTCTTGACGAACAGAATTGCTGCGCTAGGTTGCACTGTCCAGTTTTTCAACCTTTACCTACTGCATCATACCAATAAAAGTATGTTGCTGGCTACAATTAGCAATGTTGGTGCTTCAGTTGGGGCTTGATGCCAATTCCCTGGATCCAACATCAATTTGGCAGGACCGAACGCTTGATTTCTTCCAACATTTGTGGACATATTGTGAGAACTAGGGGACGACTCGTGAGTAAGATCCAAGGTCATCTTCCGGACGAGAAGGTGAGGTAATCTTGCCTTAAACAAGACATAAACAGAGAGAAGCGAAGCATGAAGCCGATTGGCTTACTGGCTAGCTTACTGTGCTTGCTACCGGTGAGGCACCTTAGCCTCGGAACACTAAATATAAATCCAGATTTAACATATCTTCGGAGGTCAGCTTATGCCAATGGGATTACCATTCAACTATGAGGATGTAAGAATACCACCCAAGTGACCCAATGAAACAAATTCTAGGTTATGAAAATGTTGAAGGGAAGTTCAGTATTTAGTTATATTGTTCATATTCTCCCAGTACACCAGATTAACATAACCTTCATGTGTAACCTCCTACTTTCTTCCTTTGGAAAGTCTGCCCTGCACCGTGCAAGAAGGCCAAGTTTCGGATGAAGATTCAGAGCTTAAGTCAAATCTATCAAAATTTGTAAAGTCAAAATTTCAACCACATGTAAAACGCAGAAGTGCAGAACTTTTTGATTCTTTCTGAAAAATCTTCTCTATTGTCTTGTCATGGCTATTTTGCATTCGCAACCCATGGACTATTATAAGCTATATCATCATCAGCTTTCGGGATTACATGAAAACGCTGGGACTGTCCATTATATCTTAGATTTACTTTAACAACTTAGCCTGAGCTTCATTAAAGCTAAAAAAAGAGATGTTGCAAGCAATTGTTCACCAACGTCTTCAATCTAACTCGCCATTCCAGAATTTTTTTGAATTTTCCAATTTACATTCAAAACTTATCATTACAATAGTTCATTTTCTACTTGTAAGTCATGTTCGTTATTTGAAATTGAATAGAGTTGATTGTAATTGAAGGTAGAGTCCTCGAAGATTACAAACAGTGGATTGAATTTAATTTTCACATCATTAGATAATGAATTGAGCATGTTAGTTGGATTTTTACGTCAGTAATTTCGTGTGTGTAATGTAAAAGTTGCTATATCATCAAAGTGTTATAACTCGAAAATCTGTCCTATGCTTGTACTTTTGCTGAGTACAATCCTAGAGCGAATGGGAAAATATACGAAGTTTCCCTGGACTAAAATTGAAAAGTACTGAGCCATGAAGACACTGGCAGAGAAATTGTATTCGGTGTTCGACTTTTGTGTACTCATTGTTGCTGTCGTGCTTAATCTATCTGACAGTAGGAACATGGTGGCTATGGCTTGCAGTGGAAGGCCATATGGTTGAATCTATAAGCATGTAACATGGAGAACTCAATATTCAGCGTCATGATTGTCTTTCCAGAAGCAGGCCACTGAAAATGACCTCTGCGGAAAGCTTGCATCTGGATGAAACAATGCGATGTGTACAACTAAATCGGATCATGAAATGCAATATCGTTGAAGCACAAAGCCGAAGCAACTGGTTCAGTCTGCTCACCTTTCATCTCCGTTGACTTGCAAACTGGAGGATGTACTTGTACGTACATCAATACGCCTTGTTGTCGATAAGTCGAAAGCATTGCACGCTTCTCAGCTGAGCAATACACGGTGTCAAAGCGACGACCAGCAAACTAAATGTGTCTGCCTAACTACTGCTTGGAGACTGCTAACATCGAATACTGTGACAGATTCTAGCTCAACCTTTGTTCTTAATCAACTGAGATTGATCACGCAATGTCATCAATCATCACTGATGACATTGCGTGATCAACTCAGTCGATATCACCTCTTGCTACTCTCAAGACATCAACAGACGAACAGGGAGGGGGTTTCTTACAAAATCCTCTCCCCATGATCGGACTGGACCTTACTGTGAAACCCACACTTTGTAATGTACGACGTCACCTTGAGAGAAATGATTGCACATTGGTATACAACTCAGTTGTCTCTAAATCAGGTGAACCGCGTGACAGTGATCGATGGAGTCAACCGTTCTTCCATCGCATCATCGGACACCAAAGTTGACAATTTGGCTATGTTGACACCACTGCAATTAGTCGTCCAGCAGTCCAGTCATAATCTCCAGGGAGACCGAGACCTGCAGCAGGAATAATTGACCATTACGGCAGGCAGGCTCATACAGGCACAGCAGCAGCTGAAACGAGCAGCAACTGTACGTGGTGATGGTGTACCCGGATGACGTGATCAGTAGCAAAGCAAGCAGTCGCCGAGATGTTACTTGACCCTGAGCAGCCAAAGTGGACAGGGCGGATCCCGATGCGCGAAGAGCTCGTGGTGATCATGCTAATTCGGCCACTGAGCTCGCTGAGCCCTCGCTCGACCCGACCCTGAGAGCCGTAGACCGTTGAACCAAGATTTGAACGAGCTTTTCGGAAGTCCTGGGGGGAGCTCGAGCTGTGAGGAGGAGCGAAGAGGACGAGGAGGTAGCTCGAAGCAAGAGTCCGAGTCAATGGATGACGCATCTACACAACGGACTTCATGGACTTTGAATCTCGTTCTGAGCTCGTTGAGGCTAAAAAGCACCGGAGTGCTCGGAAAATTCAACTTCGCCGAGCGAAAGTGATTCAGATCTGCCTCCCCTCTTGCCTCCCAAAGCTCTCGGCCTCTCGTCTTGGCACAGAGATCGTGACATCGGCCGTCGCTGCTTCCTTTTCGTCGTCGACGTCGAGGGAAAGGATAGGGAGGGGAAGATTTCAAGGCAGAGGGAGAGGGAGAGGAAGAGGAAGAGGAAGAGGAAAAGGAAAAGGAAAAGGAACAAAAAGAAGAGAAATTGAGGGAAGCTAGATTCGAGTACCTCCTCAATCAACATCTGATTCAGTTACATTCCTTCTGGAATTCCTATACACGTCTTCAGAGAGTAGACTTAGTGACGCTGGTTTGGATTCCGAGGAAGTGAGATCGTGATTCAAGCTCAGCAAAAGAAGGAGGAGGAGGAAGGGCGATATGAGGTGTTTTCTGCCCTGCTTTGTGGCGGCGCACAGACTGGTGACCTGCAGCAGAGAGGAGAAGTTGTGCAGTTGCAGCCACGTTGTTTCGACCACAAATTTGCCACAGCCCAAGCAGGTGCCGCCCATGTGCTCGGCTGCAACGAGCAATTTGAGCGACAGTAATAAATTCCCTCCGAGTATCGCTCAGCCTGCCAGGCGCCATGGCCAGCAGCAGACTTCAGGTGCTAAGAGTCCGTCCAATTTCAGCGAGGAGCCCTCGAAGAAAAGAATGCAGTGGCTAGCAAAGTTGCGACTGGACGACACTCTCAAAGGCTCATCGCCAGCTCGTGTAGTCGGGCTGAACTCGAGGCAGAAGACGGAGAAGGCCCTCGAGAGCTCACGCACGCCGACTCCCACAGAGAGTTTCAGTGATGTAACGCCGAAATCTGGAAGCGGAGGAAGCAATTTGCTTGCGGTGGAGAGAATCAATAATTTCATCAATCGGACGTTCACAGACTCGGGAGCTTCTGGCTCGACATCGGTGGAAAAAAATCAGCAGGATCAGAAGCTGAAAAATGCAGGGATGTTGATTCCGGTAGTTTGCATCATCGACAAGGCCACTGGGACCCCGGTGGTGGATCATGAGCAGCTGTTTGCGATCATGAAGAAGAAGCCCGGCTGGATGATCATGCCACACACCTTTTCTGGCGAGGGGTGGATCACCTTCCAGCACTGGACCAAAAACCGCTGTGATGCGAAAGCCCGACTTCCATATCCTAACCTGCAAGTCGCCTCGCCGGAGATTCTCGACTCCTTTGTTCAAATCGTTAACCAGCAACACGCAGACAGAGTCTTTGACCTGCTGTGAGTTCCCAGTGCTATGCAAAATTCAGTTCATACATTCATTCCTTTATCCATTCGTTGAGTACATCGCTGAAGTGTCTACAACTGATTGAGCTCACTGTATCGTCGGTCTTCCAGGTCCTTCCGTGAAAAAAATGGAGGTAGGTTACATGCAACTACAAGCTTCGAATTCGATGTGAAGGATAAGTTCTGTGTGAGCCCTTTAGCAGTCTTAACACAACCATCAACTCCAGGTACGTTTGACTCCAGATGATAATTTCATATGCTCCAGTTAGCTTCAGTTATATGATAATTCCGTTTCTGAAGTATTCAGAACTTGTGACTGCCGTCATATAGAAACATAATTTCATTCGTAGGTGCAAAGTTAGCATCTTGATGGATTAAAGATATCTGTCATTCTGGTGACTGTAAATTTTGAGAAATTTGAAGGAATATGTGATTGTGCAGAAGAGTACTTAGAACTTTTTTAATAATTTATGTCCTACTTGTTGCCTGTGGGGTCTGAATACAGTCTGTCAGTGCTTGAAGAACTGATGCATTTGCATGTATCATTGGCCTAATTCAGGTAGACGCAAGACTCCAAAGAGGGCGAAGCGCTCAATTTGCTCCGAACAGTCGTCTGTCAGGAGTAAGCATTTCCGCTGATGGGAATTCCAGTTGCAAAAGATCTCCCTGTCGAAAGAGTGCAACTGAGTTTCAGCAAAGTCAAAAGTTGCACGGGAATCCTTCTCCAGATGACACCACAAGTCCAGCCTTCCGACATACATCCTTCTACATTTAGAAAACTTTTCTTTCCATGGATCCTATCTGCTAACAGGTTGGATAGGAATCTCCATGATAGTCGGACAATTCATCGAACCGGTCCACAGAACTTGTATGAAGCTATCTCATTTTTGAGTACTTACACGCCTTCGGACTGTTCCAGCAAATGTGGAGTGCCTCCATATACATTTCAAGGATTCGGAGTGATCCGAAAGAAATTTATGGACCTGTAATTTAGGGAGGTTTGGAGAAGTGTATCTTAGTCCAGACCTGTAGATACTTCAGACTTCAAGCATAAAATTCGAAGTCCTCCTGGTCTCTTAAAAACATCGACGTATAATTATGTCGATGAGTTTCTGTCGCTCCAAAATTCTTCCTAGATGCTGAATGAACAGCGTCACAAAACAACTTCGTGGAGTCTTTCAGGAGTACATTGAGCTCATCTGTATTTCCTCAAATTTATCCTTGAAGGACTGCAAAAGCAGTGACGAGGTCTTCAATTGGTCTTAGAATAGAGAAACCTTGGAGAAGGCCTGGTCCATATGATCAAAACGGCATGTCCCAAGATTCAGAATTCTCGTTGTATAATTTCTCGGAGGACATTGAATTCGCCTTTGAATATCGGGACTTGATGTTGAGTTCTCAATGGCTCAAAACGAACAGACTGGGCTCGTGTTTACTCGAAAAGACTGACCGGCAGATAATCGATGTTTTTTTGTCCAAATCCCCTCTGTGAATTGGATTATCGGTAGCTCTGCTTTTCACCGATATTGCCATAAATTATTGAGCTAACACCTCGTGTCTCCTACGTAAATCTCTCTGTACAATGTCTGCCTAGCGTCCGTTAACATACGGACTGATATTATAAGCTTCCATTTATTATCTGGGTTCTGAGACATAGCCTACTTTATGGACAGGAAACAAGACTAGCGCACTCGAGAGTGACTTTTGTAAGGAGGACAATTGTAAAATTTAACATTGTTCTTCAGAATCTGCGATAAAACATTATCCAGTAAATGCATGCCCTATCAAGTCCGTTCCTTAATTTGAGACATCATAACGAGAAACATAGAGTTTTACATCTACTCCTTTCTATAACCTTGATTTCTTCATCCATTAGATACGGTTACTCTTTCTCCTTTGACTGATCCATAAAGTACATGCTCTTAACCATAGAATACAGGAAACAATACAATATATAGAGTACAAGTTATCGCTGATTTTCCATTTTCCATCATATAACCTCCAAGTCTCAACTCAAGTTACAACTTATATGTATAATTCATAGCATGCATATATATATATATATATATAGCATGCATATATATAATTTAACATTGATTGTGGAAAGATTTGCTTGATGGGACCCCTGCGGAAAGTAATTTGATTGATGGGACCCCTCAAGTTTAGTTTTACCCGATGGGACCTCAACGACGGTGTGCCGTCAAACATAGTTCTTGTAACTACGATTACTACTAGTTACAATGCGAGAATTACAATCAGAGATCAATCCCTGATTATAATTTCTGGTGGATTATCACGGGGACAAAGATCAATTTTGCTCGAAGTGCAATTTGTTGTGCTTCAATTCTTCCGATCGTAAAGATTCACGGATTTCTCTATTGACTCCCACCTGCACACTACTTCCGTAACCCTGCGTGGTCCGAGCTCAAGTCTCGCGATCACCCATTGGTGGCGAACAAATAAACTCCGGATGAACATTTCTTTGCTCGTCTCATTGGAGAATGGCCGGATACAAAATGACAACATAAAAACAAGTGAGTGTGATGGAGTGCGAAGTCCACTATGTCTGCGGGTGCGGTGGACTCGTTGCACTCTCTCTAGTTGTTATTAGAACATGGGTGACGGTGCATCGTTCATGGGGTCACATCGGGTAAAATGAAACCTGAAGGGTCCCATCAAGCAAATTACTTTACGCAGGGGTCCCATCAAGCAAATCTCTCATTGATTGTGCACTCACGGGTGTTTGTAGTAGAGTTGCTCTACGCGATGTTCTACCGTTAACAGTCGTATGATTCAGTTTACGCCATCTCCAAAGGATTTTAATTTGGTGTTTGAAGGTTAGATAATTAGAGATAGGTGCATTAATTTATCATAGATAAAGATATCATATAATGGTTTTCTTTTTATTTAAATGCATGTGGAAGACACGATATATGAAAATTTTTATATGGGTATAGAGACATAAAGAACAAGCTAGAGTCAAAGAAGTTACCAAGTTCTCATCCTCAGGCTTATGTTATGGTTAGAATATTTTGAATATTCAAACTTATGTTGGTAAATGCATTTATTTGCTATATACTTCACCAATACTATTAGTTGCTAACGTTGGTCCAAGATTCTATTTACATTCTACTTTTTGCCAACGATGGAATTTTAGCACTAGATTATATGTAATTTGGAAATTGGATACATTGACATGGTTTCTTTTCTTCACAAGATGCATGATGGAATATTTGACTAATATGCAAATCGATTATCTCTATGGACATAGTATACGAATACCTGTGGTAACCCATTTTTTGTTTTTGTTCGGAATAAAACCATTTTTTGGAAAATAAGTACCGCGGCATCAACTGTAAATAGTAGTCGGTACATAAAATAGAGTAAAAAGGGAGAATCGTAGGTCACTGAGAATCTAGGAGTTGGGGGGCTTAGGCCAAGGTCCAGCGCGTTGGACGGAGCAGACGATTCCTGCTGGGAAGAGCGCCTTCGGCGCCTTTGGCAACAGGTACTTTTGTGAGGTATCTTCGGCGATGCGCCTTCGGCGCAGACGTGTGGAAACCCACTTTTTGTTTTTTGTCGGAACTAAAACATTTTTTAATAGTAAGTACCGCAGCAGCAGCTGTAAATAGTAATCGGTACGCGAAACCAGAGTAAAAAGAGGATCGAGGTTAAAGAAGGGGTTTTGGGCTTAGGCCACAGTGGGACGCTTGGGACGGAACAGCGGTTCATGCTGCAGGATCCGCTTCGAGCACCTTCGGCGGTAGATCACTCATAACTTTCTCAATTCGTAACGCCTTGAATTGCTTCGGATCTTGTTGGAAAGACCTTGACGCGTTGGTTCTAACGAGCCCAAGAACTTGTGATATGGATGAGAGGTTACTGAGTTATAAGTGTCGGAAGTTACTGAGGGAGGGCCTTCGGCGATAGAGCGACTTCGGCGGTACGCCTTCGGCGGAAAAACCGCCGGAAGATGAGCCTTCGGCGGTAGACGCCTTCGGGGCAAGGACCTTCGGCGGAAAAGTGCCTTTGGCGAAAGAGTGAATCTCTCATAACTTTTTCAATTCACAACGTCTTGACTTGGTTGGTGTCTTGTTGGAAAGAACTCGACACGCTCGTTCTAACGAGCCCAATAACGCCTGGAACGGATGAGGACTCAGGGAGTTGTGACTGTCGGAAGATACGAAGACGAGCGCCTACGCATAGGCGGAAGGAGTTCGTTGTAGGCGGGAAGTCCACCGGGAATTCCGCCTACGCATAGGCGGAAGCAATTCACCTACGCGTAGGCATTTCGCCATCGGCGGAATATCCGCCTTCGGCTGTACGCCTTCGGCGGAAAAGTGAATCTCTCATAACTTTTTCAATTCACAACGCCTTGACTTGATTAGGATCTCGTTAGAAAGAACTCAACAAGTTCGTTCTAACGAGCCCAAGAACGCCTGGAACGGATGAGGTTCAAGGAGTTGTGATTGTCAAAATATGCGAAGAACGCATAGGGATAGGCGGAATGAGTTCGTGCTCGGCGGGAAGTCCGCCGGGAAATCTGCCTTCGGCGGAAGGAATTCGCCTGCGCGTAGTCACTTCACCATCGGCGGAATATCCGCCTTCGGCCCTAGATGTTCGCCTTCGGCGACAAACGTCTTCGGGTCAACGCCTTCGACGATGCGGGAGAGTGCATTCGGCGGAAGAGTGAATCCCTTATAACTTTCTCAATTCGTAACGCCTTGACTCACTTAGGGTCTTGTTGGAAAGAACTCGCGACGCTCATTCCAACGAAACCAAGAACTCTTGAAACGGACAAGGCGTCACTGAGTTATGAGCGTCGAAAGCGGCTGTCATGGTTAGGAGAGAGGACTTCGGCGTTAACATATAGAGAGGCCTTCGGCCCAAGGAGTTGCGCATAGACGAGTTGAAGTGGAAGCATGTGCATAGGCAAACGCCTTCGGCGTAAGAGTAAAACCGTCATAAATTTCTCAATTCTTAACGGTTTGACTTAGTTAGGGGCTAGTTGGAAAGAGCACAACACGCTTGTTCCAACGAGTCCAAGAACGTTTCAAACGAAGCAGAGATCTGTGAGTTATGGGCGTCGGGGGTGACTGTTTTAGATAGGCAAAGGTGCGGAAGGGTGTCTTCGGCGGGAGGATGCCTTCGGCGCCACGTGGCAGAAGATTCCCGATGGCGGAAGTTGGCGGGATTATGTCAAGTGTGGGACGTAGAACGGCAGGGCGTGAAGTTGCACGTGAGGAGCAGGCCGTTACCCATAATCGCGGGAACGGCATTCAAGCAGCATGTGGGTCCCCCGGACCTCTGATTTTGGAGAAGGAATTTTGGCCTAGGTTCAGAGATCTTACGGGGCCCATATCTTTGCGATGGACGGTCGGATGGATCTGAAATTTAGTGGGGCTGTTGATCTCAGCTGGCCACGCATGCCTGCAAATTTTCAGCCTCAGATCTTGGATGAAAAGGCGCTGGCGGCTCTGTACAGTAGGCTTAGGATTCAGATTTAGGATTAGGGTTAGATTTAGGTTGTAAGTTAGAGGGGAAGGCAGCCGCCGACTCCTCAGGTGTAGGATCTGTTGCGGTTCGCACCATGGCATAGTGCAGTGTAGTGCTAGTTAGGACTTAGAAGGTATAAAGTAATTCAAGGCGTCTTGCCTTGGGATTTTTCCAGTTTCGGAAGTAGAGATCAAGAACTCATTTTCTCTACGTGTTTGTGTCCTTAGTTCTGTCACCACGCACGAGGAGCTACACCTTGGCGGTCCGCATTGCGTAGCTGAAGGCCTTCGGCCGAATGTTCAGAGCTAGTACATTCGTTAGAGACTTGAGTAGTTCGGATCTACACCTACGGGTGATTGCCGATGTTGAGAGCCAGTGACTAGTTAGATACTTGAATAGTTTCGGCCCTACATCTTCGAGTGTTTGTTCCTGATTGTACTCATTGTAATAACCCACTAAAGGCTAAAACTGCAATATAGTGGTAGAAAGGTCGAACCCACAGGGACAGAGGAACACACAGGGTACAAAGTGTCACGTTTTAACAGACTATTGAGGAGTTTGAATTCTCAGGCAACTGTCACTCCCAGAAATACTGCAAGTGTCCACTCGGAGCGCACTCGGAGGTCGCACAGTGCAGCGTATCACACACACACACACACACCTGAAACTACAGAAACACAACCCAGAGATCCGTTAGGACCTCTACTTCAAGATTTCAGGGGGAAAGTCTCTCACGAGCACACTCGGCAAAGCTGCGGGCAGTGACTTCCAACTCCGGCTTTTACAACGCTTCCACTAGCTTGCTGCTAGTGTAGGAAACCCGGTTTGGACTACCTACTTCGGATCGAAGTCACTCAGACGCGGTGAACAACACTCTCAACTCACAAAACGCGCAGAGAACACAGGTCCGCACTGAAGGACTCACTGTGAAACATTCCAGTAACACAACAACAGTCTATTGAAGAGTTTGAATTCTCAGGCACTTGTCATTCCCAGAAATACTACA